CTTATTAGTCATTTAATATTAAACAATAATCACTAACTATTGTATAACTAAACAGTTATATCTATTGAATCTGCTATCTACTATTCACTACCCACTTTCCGCTATTCGCTAACTGCCACTTTCTACTGACTACAACTATCCGCTATCTGCTAAATTTTAACCGTTATACCAAATATGCCATAAATATCAAATAATGATAAATATGATAAAACTTTGAAATCAATAATGTGATATAAGTTACATTATTTAAAAAATTAAAAGGTAAATTTTATATTATTTAATAATTATTTTTTTTTAATTTTTAAAACCTAAAATATTATATATATTAATTAATTTAATGGAAAATGATTGATATATTCTGTAAAGTTACAGACTCCATTTTATATTGACGGTTTCCATTACTTGTATCATTAAAGTTGATGATTTCCATTACTTACATCATTAAAATTGACGGTCTCTATTACACACTAACAGTTTCTGTCAATGTGTAATGGAGTATGTATCATTGTCTAATTTAATAACATAACTTATGTCTTAAACATTTATTCCAAACTTTTGTCCTTTCTATTATTACCCATAAATATCCTGTCAATTGCATAAAAAAGTTATACTCATATCATTAGTGCTTAATTTGTGCCTAAATTTAAACGTATTGTCTTGTTGATTCCGATAATTATTACAGACAGGGGAGAGTTTGATATTTGATGGGCTCTTATTACAACCTTCCAATTTAAACATTGTACATTATTGAGATGGAAATGGTTTTAATATAATTTTTTCGTATAATTTTTTTTGTATAATTTAATGTGTTATTTAAATGATTAATTTTTTTAATTTATGTAAAATTTATAATATTGAATGTTATTTACTTATTTAATAATATATAAAAATTATATGTAAAAAATAATATAAAAAAATTATTCTTATAGTACATCCTATTGAGATTTTACTCGGCTCAGGAAATGTGACGTGGAGATGACGACAATTTTGATCAATTTTTGGGAAATAGTTATGATGAGTGTGAAAGCAGGACGTAGTGCACGGGTTACTTCCGATCCAAGTCATCAAAATCCACGCGTTTCTACTTCTTTCATCTCTCCTAGCTGTGTCTTGGAAGAGCAAGAGTCGTTTCCATGTAAAACTTATCTCCTCAGTCACTTTTATCTCTACTTGCCCGAAGAGCAAAAGTCGTGTTCCCAACAGCTTCTCCCTCAGTCTCTTTTATCCTTCCTTTCCCAAATTACCACGATCATGGCTAAGGCTAAGCTATCTCTTGAAAGAGAAAGAGTTGTTTTTATCTTGGTAGCCTGGATGATGGCTCTTGCAATGACCTCTCTAGCCAAACCACTTTTGCATGACGGTGACAACAATCCCTTGAGTGATAGGAACGCACCCAGTGGAAACGGGAAGGCTTTCACATCAACTGTATATGGATATGGGAGCTCATCATCCAGCGGATCTGCCCACTTTCACCCCACAAAAGGTGCCTTGAGTTATCCTGATAGAAGCACACCCGGTGGACCTGATAGTCCACATAACTAAGAGATTCTTGAATCAGCTGTAGGCTTCAGCTAGTGGACAGCCCGATCCCGAGCATCCTTAGTCTCATCCCCAAAGATGTATTGAGTATTATGAAGTTAAAGATTATCCATCGTCTTGTAACTTACAATGTTTCAAAACAATATAACTGGAAAAAGTTAGCTTTTCTGGTTTGTTTGAATGATGATATTTCCAGAGTGAAAAGGATTGGGCATCTCATTTGAATTTCACATTATAAGTTGCTTTATACTCTTTTCTTTTCTTTTTTTTTTTTGGTTTTCTTCCATAGCTGACTAGTTGTTTACATGATCAAACAATATATGGTTGCTGCTAAAGTTGACCTATGTTAGATAAAATTTTTCCTAGCCAAATTGTATGATTTGCACCTTCAGATGCTGTAAAATATTCTGTCTCTGCTGTTGACTGAGCTACTACCTCTTGTTTCTTTGAGCCCCAACAAAATACTACTCAACCAAGAGTGAAAACTATTGAATAAATAGGGTAGAAAATCTGTAAATGGCTTCAAGGCGTGTTGCAAATACCGCTTTCCTTTAGGCTAACTTCGCCCCCACTAGATCTGGTATGCAAAAGGAGTAACTCAAAATGCCCGTAAGATACAATGAATGTATGATTTGCACCTTCAGATGCCGTAAAATATTCTATCTCTGCTGTTGACTGAGCTACTACCTCTTGTTTCTTTGAGCCCCAACAAAATACTACTCAACCAAGAGTGAAAACT